AGCGGGGGGGCAGCGGCGCCCCTGGCGGCGGGGCTCGAGTACGGCGAGTTTGACCGCCGCACGCTCCGATGGGGTTTTGCAGCGAAGCTCAGATAGAGCCTCAGTTGCCACCGGCCCCGTCAGCGAGCCTGCTCGGTGCTGGTCCCCGGCCACCCAGGGCGGCGGCTGCCTCAGTGAGAGCTGACTTCTGCCCGCCGTTTCATGGCGAGAGCATCCGTGAGATTTCCATCTCAGGGAAACGCATTTCCTGGTCTGCCTCGCGGCGAGGAGGTCTGTCAGGACAACGCTTCAGTACTCGGCTTTCCAGGAAAGCTGAGCTCCATCACAAGCCATCCCGAGGCCCGCTTTGTGGGGACATCACATGCCTTCCACCCACATCACCCAACTCCACCAACCCACTGGGCATTTCAGTCACTGGAGATGCTGTATAGAGCCTGTCTGTCACCATCCCTGATGGGACGCCGTTATCTGCATCAGTGCCCAGCACTGTGTGATTACTACCATCTGTGCCGTGCACCACAAATGTGAATTCATCATGGTATCCAGCCACTGACTGCATGGAAAAAAAAGAAGGGCCCATGCTCCTTTGCTTGCTTTGGTCTTCATCTGAGTAGACTTCTTTAGATGGCTTAATAAGTGTGCTGTGCAGGCAGCATGTTTTCCTCATGCGGGCTGTCGAGTGAGTCTGCTGTCTGTCTGCTCCAGGTATCTGCCACTTGAGATCCTATGGAAACACGCTGCAGTCCTTCAGTGCTGTGACCTGACTCTGCAGAGAGCTGCTTCATCTCCACGGGAGGCTTGTTCTTGAAAAGTTGTTTGCAAAGCAGTTTGTTTTCTGAGAGAAGCACTGCTCCCTTCCCTCTGCCTCCTCTTGAAAGCAAGGGGAGTTGTTCACAGTATTGTAATGTTCCTCTCTGAAAATCTGTCTGCTTTTGCTTTCACCTTTTCTGCCAGCTGACAAGTTCTACTAATAAAATAGTTGATAAAGTGCCCCGTTTCAGTTTCCTGTAAGTTACATCTTTGTTACAGCCTCTAAAATAAAGTTTTTATATACCAACTTCGATTAGAATCAGAGAGAGATTAAGAAAGGCAACTGAACAGATTCAGCTCAACAGGAGGGAAAGCTTTTTGCCAGACTGAAGATTACAGTCAAGACATAAGCAAATTTGCTTAGTATAATGACATTGCACTATAAGCTTTCAGTGTAGGCTAGGAAATGTCCCTATTAGTCTTATTTAGATACACTTCTGCTGTACCTGCTCTTCTATTTTTACCCAGCCTGGGTAGGTAAAGAGGGAAGAGAAGGCACACGTGAGTGCATTCCTCTGTTCTGCAAGACAGCACTCTTCGCAAGTAAGGTGTTACTGACACACTGTTCTCTTATGTTCTGATTGCACCAATATGAATTTCTTCACTGACAGCTTACTGGAAGATGCTCCAGGCTTGTTACACACCTCTCCAGGACTGATCCGAAACATACCAGAAGTGTTTATGGTGCAGATGCAGCAGACAGGCCCACACATGTCTTCTGTTTGATTCACAGCTTAACACTGCCCACGCAGCTCCACCTAAAACTCATGTTACCATTACACCATGGTTCTACACCATTCACCACAATTACACAGGTTATCATCTTCTGTTAAAGACATGACTCTGTTTCTATTCTCCAGCTGTATATTCAAGATGTCTTTTGTTTGGAGAAGACTTTAGCTTTGTAAAAAGCAGCTTTTAACTACTATTACTGTATAACAGAATATTAAGTGCTACAGAGTGTATGAGTAAGGTAGTTAATGCATAAGATCTCCAAGTGCTGGGAGCTTGGTCCTTGAAGGCAAGAACCATTTGCATACACTGTGCTATAACCTTTGCTCACATAGCTAGTTAGGCACTGCCAGTTCCAGCTACAATGAATAGAAACTCGGACTGGTCTCTTACCTTCTCACACAAAATAATGAGGGCTATAGCACTGTCACTTACAAAGCTACATTGGAGAAACTGTCCTAGCGTACATAGTTTGTAGTTATAAGTAGTTATTCTATGTCTAGGAGACATGTCTACACTGGAGTTAGAGGTTCAGTTAACGCTGAAGGTCAAGGCTTAAGTCAACACAACTTTATCATGATTAGCTCTTGATAGGCATTGGTTATATTATCGTATTCTTCCCAACATTTATATCCCCAGCTCATATTATTTTGGACAAGTTAAAGCTGTATCTGCTAGTAGTCTTTCTCTGTTCAGAACAAATGCATATGCTAAATGATCATGGTAGAGATAGCTACATCATATCATTCCCAACACAGGTACCTGAGGCATGAAGAATACTACTGAAGTCTGAATATAGGCCCTGCGAAAGAGGCATTATTGAGTTTTGCTTGGTCTTCGACAAGCTGCTACTGGGCATACTCCCATTGGAGTCATTGTTGTAATAGTCAGAAGGGTATCTCAGAGCCCTCAGATTGGCTTTAATCAGTTTTATTACGCTTCCTCTTGACACTTGAAATCTAATCTCTGAAGAAAAGTCTTGAAAATTCATTTTTCTTGTATCTTTTCATTAGTGAAAGGCAAAAAACCAACCACAAACCACCAAAAAACACTTCTGAAATTCTCAGCTGTATAGACAAGAATTGATAGGTCTTATTAATAGCTCTTAATCCCCTGAGATGAAAAGCATGTTGCAGTTCCCAGGCAGCTAATGTTTCCACACATTTGAATGCAGGTATCTTTGCAGCAAGAATTAGGAAGATCATGAGCTGATTGCTAATCTTTCAGGTAAAATTCCAGTAGACTTGTTGAAACGATTTAATTGAGATCTGGCAGAAAAGTTGAGCCCTTAAGACACCATTGCTCTCCCCCTGGCAAACAATATAGAATTCTCAACGAACAGAAACCTATGTACATGTTCCATTATCTTCAGATTCAGCATCTGCATGCTGCTGTGCTAATGCTACTTACATGCTGGATAGCTCTGTTAGTATTTCCTTCTGCAGCATAGTACTGGAAATTTGCCTGATTATAAGAATTTGCTGAACAGTGAGAGGGAAAAAATTATTTTTTAAGCTTCTGTAATAAATACAGAGATCCAAAAGTATTAAACGTCCTATTCTACCTCTCATGGACAGATAGTGAAGCTAGATCAGTGAAGCAATTTCAGTGTAAGCACTTGGTACTGATCTAGTTTTCTTGAGTACTGTGCTTAAGAACAGGACTGCCATAAAACAAGTTTAGGAAGTTGCCTTAGTACTCCCACAGCTAATTTCCAGTAGGATTAGACTGTCTCAAACTCTCCTAAATAGAAGAACTGTAGATATTCATGAAGGAATTAGCAGGTGCCTGATGGAGGTATGGCAAGTGAGCAAGACAGAAACTAAATCCAACCTAGTTCTGGAAGTATCATTTCATGAACTAGCAATTAAAGCAGTTGATTCTCAACTATACAAACTGCATGAGTTTACTCTTATAAATATGCTGCAAAATATTTGCTGAACTAGTCAGTGGTTTGCAAATGGTATTTCAGAGATCACTACAGCAACATTAGTGACCTCCTTAGAGTTAGAACGATAGAGAGGGTATTGGTGTGTACACATAGCTCTAAGGCTAGTACTGATAATCAGATTATTTTCTCGTGTGCTGCCCTGCCCCTGCAGCCCCCTCACTCACAGACAAATGTGAACATGCACACACTTGGCTGCTTCCAGCCATCCTTGAAGCAAGAAGTCTCAGATTTTACCTTGATCTCAGTCCCAGTGCTGTATTTCCCACAGCCAGCCAAAAGGACAGCTTAGCAAGAAACCGAGTAGCCTACCTTGTTAGTGCAGTAGTCCAAATTACCAGGAAAAACAGTGTCCTCAGAACATTCTTTTTGGTGACAAGCCCCAGCTGAACCATGTAAAGATATGAACCAACCAAACCAGCATTTACTTTCTCTGAAAGATATCAAAGATAGCAGCCTCTTCAAGACACTTTTGACGGGAAGATCTTGGAGCATTCAGGTACTGCAGAGACTACACAGGGTCATCAAACAAAACTTGAAGTCTAGGGCTGCTGCACTTGGGAGTAAATGTTTTCTGCCCCCAGTAAGCTGCCTCATCTCAATCCTTTTTGTTAGACTTGCTAAAAAGTTAAAAGCTAAAAGTTAAAACTTGCTCTGAACATTAAGAATCTTAGCATTATTTCTTTGGTGGCTATATCAGTACGATGGCCTTGTGTTTTTTTTTATGTTTAAATACTTAGACTTTCATCTTCCATCAGGCACTTTCAAAGATCCACAATTGTTTCAATCACTCACATTTTTCAGTAATTTAAACTGGTACCCATCTTAATGTCAAAGTAAAGCCACCATTTTCTTCAATCTGATAGCTGTATTTCTCTTCACTCATCATACCATCAGGTTGCAAATCCTATCCATAGTGGTGAGAAGGTAGATGGAACTGCTTTTAAAATGCCCAGGATTAGAAGACGGTTGATCAGGTACTTATCAGATATTTTAGCACAAACACAGCCTTGAACAATATCCAAAATAAAGTTTTCTCTACTTAGGGAAGTCCTGCCTCTTTTCCAAAGCCAGCACAAGGACAGTGATGCACTTTGGATAAAAAAGTCCAAAGTGGTTTACCTCAGTTATCATACTTTGTTTCTGTGAATATGAAGCAGGTTGTATAAGCTGTTCTCAGTGAAAGCGTAATGCAATCAGTGCACCTAGCTTTCAGGCAGCCTCTAATGCTCTTATCAATGTTACACAAACACTCTTTGCACGCTAGTTTCCTGCAACACTTCCACAGGTGCGTTCTTAACTTAGG